TCTTTTTTTTTTATTTGATTCTTTCTTTTTTTGTTTCTTCCTCTCTGTTTTCTGCATTCGCCTTACTCCACACATTAAATTTCCCCGAATACTTTCCTATGTTTCAAAGAGCTCCAATCACTTTCTATTATCATCGACAAGTTCTTTACTTGCTTAGATTCTTTTTTTGTGTGTGGTTTTCTCTCTTTTCTGCATTCTTCCTATGTATACGTACTCCACCCACCCCAGGTACTTCTCAAAATTTCAAAGAGCTCCCATCATTTCTCATTATTCACACAAACTCAACTCTAAAACCCAACAAATATAGGTGTAATATGCATCCATTCCCTTGTCTATTTGTTGTCAGGTTTCTATATTTGCACCCATCATAGACGGATGTACAAGGAAGGAATAAACTAATATTATGAACGAGAACGAGTGTGTCTCAAAACACCTACAATCTCTTGGAATCTATGCTGACTTAGTGAAAGATAAGGCACAATGGAAAAAAAGATCTATACAGGTGATATCATTATGTTTGGAACATTTTCTGGTCATGTTAGTAGTTTAGGTGTATGTTTTCTAGGAGTCTTATAGTCCTATTACATGTTTTTACGCAAGTAGGAAGTATAGATAACTTCTAATACTTCTTATTTTTATATTTTTCATTTTATATAACATTGGTTTGAGAATTGAGAAGAACTTGATTGGATAAACATGGCCAGTGAAGGTCAATATAGCCAGCCCCGACTTGTTTGTATTGATGCACATTTGTTGTTGTAATGAGAATGATAGTGAATAGGACCAAAAACACTCCATGGCTAGTATTTACCAGTTGGGAGCCACAACAAATGAAAGGGGTTTAATTGTATCCACTTCCTCGAATTATATCGAGGAAATAGGACAATAACAAGTCGTATTTGTACATAAATAAATTTTGAATCCTCTCGACCTAAAAGAATCTCTCTTTATAGTGCCAAGGGTAGTTCAAAAAATGATTTACATCACAATTTTGAACCCATTTGTGGAGTATTTGCAATATTTTTGAATCCCTTTGTTAAAATTTCTGGTTCCGCCACTACAAAAGTCTTTCTATTTACCAAGTATTCTAATCAAAAGTCGAACTCTCTTAGAAAGAGACCTTGCTGTCTGCTGAGTCGTTTTTGACTAAAGGAGAAAGTTTCCAAAGACTTTTTTTGATACCCAAGGTCTCTGGGTCAGCTTTCACGCAACTCAACTAGTTCCACTAATTATTCAGGAAAAACCTAAAGACTAGAACTTGTTTAATAAGCCTTCGTCAGGAATCACTTAGGGTTTTTTCTTCTCAAGTAGAATTTGAACCTGAGACGTTCATTGACCACTAAACTACACTCTTGGATGCGTTTCCAAAAACATTATACTCGAAAACACATATATATTTGAGGTAACAACACATAACAATACTACTAATTGATTTCAAGTAACAAATTAATACTAATTAACTATGCAAATAGCCATTAAAATAGGAAGAGGGGAAGTACAAAAGCATACCTGGGAGAGCAGTTAATCCAACAATGGCAATGAAATTACTCAAATTAGGAATACATAATTGAGAAGGAAAAATTAAATAGATGAGAGTCATAAAGATCAAAGAGGCAAAATTTGACATTCTTTGTTTGTCCACTTTCTAATCTAATTTAACAGGGGAGTTAAATAGACTTAAAATCTAATTTAACATCAAAGTCTCCAAAAGTCTATTTATTTCAAAGTTGTTTTGATACACGTACATTGCACATGAATGTCAAATTATGTAGCAAAAATTACTTTACCACTTCAAATATACGGGTATTTAAAAAACCCCTTAACAACTTTCAAATGAATTTAATCTCACTCTTAAAACTACAATACTAGACTCACAATGGGAAGTGAATTACACACGTGTCTCGTCAGCGCCACATTAGTGGCACATCAACCCTACATCAGAGCCACGTAAAAATAATAGTTAATTTTTTTTCTTCTTTTTATTATTATTGAAAGACAATTTTTTGCCCCACAATTATGAAACATTAAACAATGAATCACCCAAAATTCAAGAAAATTTCATCAAAATTTTACTTGTCAATGTAGGCACAAACCTTGTTGATAAAACATGTGGAGCTTGAGGGTATAGCTGAAGATGTCATCATTAAAAGGGATTAGCTTCAATCTTTGGTTGTCATTGTTGAAAAAGATTAGCTTCAATTACTTGTGACTGCCATTGTTGAAGGAAATTAACTTCAATTTGGGAACAACAATGATAAAGCTAAGTTCGATGATCTTCAGTTTTGTATAAGAAAAAATTTAAATTTAAATTTAAAAAATAATAATGAGGATGAGATGAGAAAAGGGTGGGAGGTAAAGCTAATACATTTTTGTTTCATTTGAACAAGTTTGGGGGGAAAGGGGGGGGGGTTTCTAAATTCAAACTTTATAGTGAGAATTCAATAATAGCAACCAGAGCAAGCTGATACATTTTTGTTTCATTTCAACAAGTTTGGGGGCCTAAACTCAAACTTTTTAGTGAACTTTTTTTTAGTTGTCATAAATAAATGGAATATAATCAAATTCACATAGGGGTCTAAATTCAAACTTTATAGTGAGAATTCAATAATAGCAACCAGAGCAAGCTGATACATTTTTGTTTCATTTCAACAAGTTTGGGGGCCTAAACTCAAACTTTTTAGTGAACTTTTTTTTAGTTGTCATAAATAAATGGAATATAATCAAATTCACATATTCTTATTTAAAATGAATACAATCAACTTCATAAATTCTTTTGACGATTTAACTTTTTCTTTTTTCTTCAAATTTTTTGTAGTTATTCAGACAAAGTCACTATAATCAACTTCATATATAGATATTATTATTTATTTGTGTGTTTGAGTTTAGTTTTTACTTGAATATTAACACTATCAATGAGATTTGTGTATGCATTTTATATAGTGATTAGTAATTATTGCAAATTGTTCGCTTTTGTTGATTATTTTTCCTTTTTTTATATAATTTTTAATGATTTTAAGTTTTTTTCTTTTTGCAGGATTTGTTCAGCGTATTGTGGCTATCTTTTAATTCTGAATAAAATAAAAAAATAATTTTTAAAATTTTGATAAATGATTCATATGCAACAATTCTTTTACACACCTATTTTACCCATCTTTTTAATGAATTTTTATTGTAATAAAAATTAAACGTTATAGGATTATCTTTCTTATATATCTTTATCCATTCAATGTATTATCCGAAATTGATACAGATTTATGAAAATATCATTCAGTTGTAAGCATCATATTGTACTAAAATATCGCATATAATTAAATAATTTTTTTTTAAAATATCATATAATTGGTATATGACATTAAGAAAAATTCAAAGATAAAAATTAAAAATTTGAATAACATGCCTACAATTTGATATTCAAGTGATTAAAACTTTTTTAGTTTTATGCTTAACATTATCACGATGATAGGACTTTTCTTAGTTGTATTTTGTTTTAATGCAACGATTAAATTTTCTTATATCTTTATTATTCTAACAAGAGGATAATATGCATAGGTTATGTATGATTTTGAATAATTTTGAGGGAAAATGCATAAGTATCCCTCCAATCTATGCCCGAAATCTCAAAGACACACTTATACTATACTAAGGTCCTATTACCCCATCGAACTTATTTTATAAATAATTTTCTATCCCTTTTCGGCCTATGTGGCACTATTTTGTGGGGCCAACATGTGTTGACAATTTTTCAAGCTATCTGGTTGATAGTGCCACGTAGGCCGAAAAGGGGTAGAAAATTATTTATAAAATAAGTTCGGGGAGGGGGGGGGGGGGGTAATAGGACCTTAGTATAGTATAAGTATGTCTCTGAGATTTCGGGCATAGGTTGGGGGGTACTTTTCCCTAATTTTGAATAACATTCTCTCAAATAAAATTTACTATATTATCTTATGATAAATAAAAATTAGAAATTGTCAATAAATCAATATTTATGATAACATTTATCAACTAACCGCTCAACGCGCGAGAACGTATACTAGTATAATTTAACAGGAGAGTTAAATAGGCTTAAAAGTGAGGTGTAATAATTAATGACTATTTTGAAAAAAAATCAATTATAGAAGTAATATGTTGTAAATCATTTTGGTGGTTAAATGGATGACCATAACTCCTTGGTTAATTTTCCTCCTTTATGAGTAGTAATGTTGTTGATAATGTGGTCAAATGGATGACCATAACTCCTAGGTTAATTCCATCCTTTATTGGTAGTAATGTTGTTGATAATATGGTTAATTGGATGATCATAACTCCTAGGTTTATTTCCTCCTTAATGGGTAGTAATTCTCAAGGTTTAATGTAATGTTTATGACACCCTTTGGTATTCCTCAATGTAATCCTATAAATAGTGGTGTTGAGAATAATGTTGAATACACTTGAAAGAAAGAAAGTTAGTTTATATTGTTCCTCTTGTCTTGTATTCTTCTTCTCTTCCTCTTTATATTGTTCTTTTGTTCTTAAGTTTTACAAAACGTTATCAACACGAAACTCTAATATCATTTCGATTTTTCCAAGTTAAGCTTCTGGTATGTATTCATATACTTAATTCTCATTATTAATCACTCTAATATAATATACTACATATTAGGAAATGGTTAGGTGTTAAACAGTGTGTGTATATTTTTGGTAGTTAAACAATGGAATATATATAAGTCCAAAAAGTTTATGTTCTCGCCTAATCATCAAGTGAATTATGCTATTTTAAATTGGTTAAATTTTAATTTTGTCTAGCAATTTTGCTAGAAATTATTTAAGTAATATGTTAGGCAGAATGTTCATTTAAATTGCTCGGAAGGTTGATACTAACACATTAATTTACTAATTGATGTTACTTTGTACAATAACATGTGTCACGTTATTATCATTGATAAAAAAAAAGTTTTGTTAATTACTTATGTACTCACTATTTATTTTAGTCTAATTAAATTATTTTCTATGATAGTTTTATCATGTCGAATTTATCAAAGCTTGAGTTCATGGCACTTGACATTTCTGGAAATAATTACTTGTCATGGGTACTCGACGCTGAAATTCACCTTGACGCTAAAGGTCTTGGTGCCACTATTACCAATGGTAATACGACATTGAGTCAGGACAAAGCAAAGGCAATGATTTTCCTTTGTCATCATCTGGATGAAGGATTGAAGGTTGAATACCTTACGTTGAAAGATCCACTTGAATTGTGGACTGGTTTGAAGGAAAGGTATGACCACCTTAAGGCAACGGTATTGACAATGGCTCGTTATGAATGGATTCACTTACGGTTACAAGATTTAAAACTATATGTGAATATAATTCTGTTGTATACAAAATTACTTCCCAATTGAAATTATGTGGGGAAGATATAAAAGATGAGGATATGTTGGAAAAGACTCACAATTTTTCATGCCTCAAATTTGGTATTACAGCAGCAATACCGTGACAGGGGATTCAAAAAGTATTATGAGTTAATCTCATGCCTTCTTGTGGCTGAGCAACATAATAATCTTTTATTCAAAAACCATGAGGTCCGTCCCACGAGAATTGCTCAGTTACCGGAACCAAATGAGGTTGAAGCACATGGCCAGTCTGTGAGAAGACAAAATAAAAATCAAGGCCAAAATAATATGCGTGGACGTGGCAATGGCAGGGGACGATATAATAATGATCGTGGTGGTGGTCGCCATAAAAGGGAGAACAATATGGGTTCTCAAAGAAATCCTTCAAGAGGCAATTGTCATCGTTGTGGCATGAAAAGGCATTGGAAGAATGAATGTAGAGCAGCTAAGCATTTTTGTTAGGCTTTATCAAGATTCCTTGAAAAGAAAAGGAAATAAAAATAGTGCATCTTCTTCTAATGCTCGGGTGCAGTCACACTTGACTTATAAAAATGATGTCGAGGCAAGGCCTTCACAAAAATATGATGACAATATTGAAGCAAATTTGGCTTTAAAAGATGATGATTTTGATGACCTTGATGATATTACTCATTTGGAAGTTGAAGACTTCTTTGGAGATCAAAACTAATGTTTGATCATTTGATTGGGGAAAATAATTATGTTGTTTTATTTATGTGTTTTTTATTATTATGTTTTTCCTTATGTTGTTTTTATATTCAGAAAAAAAAAAGTACTTTTATTTTCTTGCAAAGTTGTTGATTTTTCATATTTCTTATGATGTACTTTTATTTTATGAAGATAAATAAAACTCTCCAATTTTCAATTGATTTTTTTTTTTTGGGTCAAGGGCTAAGCAACAACCCCAAGCCTTATCATAGATAAACAAGGCAAAATACAGGGAGAGGGCATAGACCTTACCTCCATCCTATGGTGGTTCAAGAGTTGGTAGCCTACTAAGGTTCTCCAACTCTTCCCCATACTAGAAATGAAGCCTATCATCTAAGCACCTATGTGAGAGGACTTCTCTTGATACAGAGAATCTAGGAAAGCATAAATGAGGGAGACTCTCCCTTTACAAGAAAAAGAAAATCTCTTCATAAAGCTATAACTTAAAAAGAGATAGCCTATGTGAAGATGACTGGTAAATCACCAAAAAGACCATTTGGAGTTCAAGCTCCTTCATATGTCTACCATGTTGTTGAGTAAGTCAAGGGGGTTTCTTAATTCTTTTCATTTTCTTTCTTCTGAAACTTGCCATGCTTGCCTTGTCCTGCTGAAGATAAGTTGCTGCCTCTTTTGGAATTTGTTGGCTGGTGAAGTATAGTTTGGGCTGGTGACTTGATGGCTGTGTTTGGAGAGTGAATCTGCCACAAAGTTGGTTTCCCTGAGTGTGTGAATGCATTTGAAGTGTGAGAAGTGAGTGGTAAGGGTATGAAGCTGCTGCATTTGTGATGAGATGTTCCAAGGAGGGGCTGATTTGTTCAAAAGCCAGTCCACCAGCATTTGTGAGTCAACTTCCAGTATAACTTTTTGATAATTCAACTGAACACACCATGATAAGCTAAATACAGCTGCCTCCACTTCTGCTTAATTGTTGGTGCCATGCCCCCAAAGGAACAAAATAAGCAAATATTAAGTCTCTATTGGAGTTTCTGAGAATACCTCATGCTCCTATGTTGCCCGGATTATCCAATGCACTTCCATCTGTGTTGAGTTTAAACCACACATCTGGTGGTTTCATCCATTAGACAAGAGTGACCTTGGTTTCATGAAAGCATTTCTTAATAAGGCTGACAGTTTCCACCCAGCTTGATGGCCAAGGGATGTAAGGGAAAACAGTATATAGTAACTTGAAAGTATCCTTAAGCACCAAGAACTTGACCCTTGCAATGTTAGATTACTTGCCCCCATATTTTATTGCACACATATTCTTCCAGAAGTTTCAACAAATAAATATTGGAGTGGATTGAAAAATAAGTTTATGGGCCTCATTTTTGTAGTTGTTTTCCCACCATCTCATAATCATATATCTAAGAGGAATATAATCAGTTTGGATGCCCAGAGAGTCAGCAAAGAATTTCCAAACCTTTTTGGCAAATATTCCAGCATTAAAAATGTGATCAATGGTATCCACTCCTGTTGGATGACAGCATAAACAGTCTGCAGGTTCTATGTCAAAACTGGAGAGTTTCTCATTTGTAGGAAGCATGCCTCTTAATGCTCTCCATAATAGAAAAGAGCACTTGAAAGGAATATTTCTATGCCAAGTGTGAGTGTTAATTTTGGTTTTGGTTCTTTGTTCTCTGATGGAGTTCCAGGCAGAAGTACAAGTGAACACATCATTACAGTTGAGGTTCCACACCGGCTGATCTGGAATACCTTGTTGAAGCTGAAGCTGAGTAGCAAGGATGTTGTGCATCTGAGTTGGAGGAGCTAGTTGAATGATCTTGTTTATATTCCATTGTCCCTCTTCAATAAATTCTGAGACAGTGTCATTGTTGAATCTGTTGTTGTCTTCAGTGAACTGAGCCAATGGGCCAACCCCTAACCAATTATCCCACCAGAATGAGCATGAACCAGACCTGATTTTCCATTGTATGTAAGTCTCCACCTTGTGTGTATTCCTTGTCATAAGCCTCCTAGCATGGGAATTTTGACAGCCCTTTTTTTTTGCTCACAGGGTTAGATCTTTGACAATATTTAGCCCTTAGGAAATCACCCCATAAAGTTTGCTTGAACCTAAAAATCCACCACTATTTGTATTGGAAAGATTGACAAACATCACTCATGAGTCCAACCCCAATGCCCCCTTCACAATTGGTTCAAGATGAGTAATGGAGATATGTGTCTTCTTGATAGTGCTACAACTCACACTATTTTAAGAGAAAAGAAATATTTCTCTAATTTGATTGTGAAAAAGGCTTATGTTAATACAATATCTAGTAGTGCAAAATTAATTGAGGGCTCTGGAAGAACGACCTTACTACTACCTGGGGAAACAATATTAACTATTGAAAATGCATTGTACTGTAGTAAGTCTCAAAGAAACTTATTAAGTTTCAAAGTTATTCGCCAAAATAGCTATCATGTTGAGACTGCCAATGAAGGAAAGGTTAAATACCTTTATATTACTACAGTAAAATTGGGGCAAAAATATATGCTAGAAAAATTACCCGTATTTTCTTCTAGATTGTACCATAAAAGTATTAGTATGGTTGAATCATATGCCATAGTAAACAAAGGATTTACTAATCCTAATGATTTTATCATTTGGCATGACCGGTTAGGCCATTTCGGTTATAATATGATGAACAAAATTATTGAGAATTCACATGGGCATACTTTGAAGAAATCAGAAAATTCTTCAATTAAAGAAATTCTCTTGTGCTACTTGTTCTCAAGGAAAGTTGGTTATTAAACCATCAACAGCTAAGGTTAGGACTGAATCCCCTTCATTTCTGGAACGTATACAAGGTGATATATGTGAGTCAATTCACCCTTCATGTGTGTCATTTAAATATTATATGGTCTTGATAGATGCATCTACAAGATGGTCACATGTGTGCTTATTATCAACTCACAATATGGCTTTTGCGAGGTTGTTGGCTCAAATAATAAGATTAAGAGCACAATTTCCAGATTATGCAATAAAGACAATTCGTCTTGATAATGTTGGTGAGTTTACATCGCAAGCCTTTAATGATTATTGTTTGTCCACTGGGATATTAATTGAACATCCAGTTGCTCATGTTCACACTCAAAATGGTTTAGCGGAATCTTTGATTAAGTGTCTCCAATTGATAGCTAGATCATTGTCAATGAGGACAAAATTGCTTGTTTCAATATGGGGGCATGTTATTTTGCATGCAACAACATTGGTGCGCATAAGGCTAACTAGTTATCATGAATTCTCTCCATTACAATTGGTTTTTGGTCATGAGCCAAATATTTCCCATCTTAGAATTTTTGGGTGTGCGGTATACGTTCCGATTACCCCATCGCTACACACAAAGATAGGTCCCCAAAGAAGGTTGGGGGTGTATGTTGGGCATGAATCTCCTTCTATTATCAAATATTTGGAACATATGACAGGAGATATATTTACGACAAGGTTTGCTGATTGTCATTTTGATGAATCAATATACCCAACATTAGGGGAAGAACATAAGTAGTTGGAAAAAGAGATAGATTGGAATTCATTATCTCTATCTCATTTAGATCTTTGAACAAATCAATGTAAGCAAGAGGTTAAAAAGATGATTTATTTGCAAAATGTTGCAAATCAACTGCCAGATGCATTTACTAACCTTCCAAGGGTTACTAAATCCTATATTCCAGCTGTAAATGCTCCAGTTTGAGTTGATGTCCCGGTAGGACAAATTGTTAAAGCAAATGAGTCTAAACCACGTTTAAAACGTGGTAGGCCAATTGGTTCAAAGGATAAAAATCCTTGAAAAAGAATAGGAACAAATGATCATGCAGATCATACCATGGAGGAAATTGCTCAAGAAGAGCTCTGAGACATAACAAATGATAAGACCACAAATAAGGTCTAACTAACTGAAAATAATGAGAATGAAGAAATTTCAATAAGTTATGTCTCAACGAGAAAAAGTGGAATCGAAATAGTATTGTGGTAGACAATATTTTTGCTTATAATGTTGTTGAAATAATGCAACAAAGTGAGGATTTTTAACCAAAATCTGTCAATGCATGTAGACAGAGAAATGATTGGCCAAAATGAAAGGAAGCAATTCAAGCGGAATTGACTTCACTTGAAAAACGTGAAGTTTTTGGACCAATAGTCCGAACACCTGAAGGTGTCAAGCCAGTGGGATGCAAATGGGGTTTTGTGCGAAAACGAAATGAAAAAGGTGAAGTCGTAAGATATAAAGCACGACTTGTGGCACAAGGTTTTTCGCAAAGGCCTGACATTGATATGTGGAGACATATTCTCCTGTGGTAGATGCAATTACCTTCAGGTATCTAATAAATCTGGCAGTTCATGAAAAGCTTGAAATGAATCTAATGGATATTGTCACAACCTATTTATATGGCTCATTGGACCACGATATTTTCATGAAAGTTCCTGAAGCATACAATGTGCCTGAAGCATATAAAAATTCGCAAGAAAATTGTTCGATAATGCTTCAGAAATCCTTATATGGATTGAAACAATCAGGGGAAATGTGGTACAAAGTCTTAGCCAATTTTTGCTAAAGGAAGGGTACAAAAATGACCCTATTTGTCCTTGCGTTTTTATAAAAAGGTCTGGATCTGATTTTGTTATAATAGATGTGTATGTTGATGATTTAAATATCATTGGCACTCCTAAAGAGCTTTGAAAAGTTGTTGAGTGTTTAACAAAAGAATTTGAAATGAAAGATCTTGGTAAGACAAAA